TTGATCAAAATTTCGCGGGCTAAAATTGTGACTTATTTAGAAAAAGTTTTGGAGATTTTTCGAGGTTTCTGGAAAACCAGTTTTCCAGAGACCGACTAGAAAACGCCTGCGGGGGAAAACGGCTATCATATTCGGCATTAGCATGGTCGATTACCTATTGTCCACTAGGTTTCAAGCCAAAAGCGATGGGGCAGTTGGTGGCCTTCCCTCGTGAGTTACTTCTCATTGCATTGATATTACTATATTTAGATTTATCAATCCTGATGTTCTGATTGAAACTTACAATATGGATATAACAAAAATAGATAATTTTCCGTTGTTTATGGATAAAATACGGTTCGTTTTTTACTTGAAATAAATCGAATACATGTAGTGTCTCATTACTGTATATTATTTTCAGCACGGGAAGTAAAAATGGTGAAAATGTTGATCTTGTGCTTAGTTGTGTAGATAATTTTGGAGCGAGAATGACAATAAATATGGTATAAATATGATTAGCTAATTTTGTATTTATGATGTCATAGAGTGTGTTGTTTCTCTATTTAGGCTTGTAATGAACTTGATCAAATATGGATGGAATCAGGTGTTAGTGAAAATGCTGTCAGTGGTCATATACAGTTATTAATACCCGGTGAAACGGCTTGTTTTGCAGTACGTATATAGAAATTTCCCCAAAACTTCTTATTTTAGAATGGAATGAAACGTATTTGTGATTGTTTGTCTACGTATATATTATCCATATTTTATTTGTAGTGTGCTCCTCCCTTGATTGTTGCCGATAATGTTGATGAGAAAACGCTTAAACGTGATGGTGTGTGTGCAGCTTCTCTTCCAACTACAATGGGTATTATCGCTGGTTTACTAGTTCAAAATGTACTCAAGTATGAGAGATAAAATGTATGAAGTGATCTTCTTTTCTAAGCTGTTTTTCATATCTGTTTTTCAGATATTTGCTAAAATTTGGTTGTGTATCCAATTATGTGGGTTATAATGCTCTTCAAGATCATTTTCCAACAATGACATTGAAACCAAGTGATGAATGTGATGATAGTTACTGCAGAAAAAGGCAAATGGAATATAAAGTAAGCAGTTGAAAATAAAAAAGATATTAACCATTTCTGATGAATATATATTTTGAAATAAGGAAGATTATGAGTCAAACAATTCATTTTAAAACGATTCTTTCAATTGAAATAGAAATCTGACTCTTGAAGAAAATAAATGTTAGTGCCGTATGATATTTTTGAGATCGATCGATTAACAAATGTTGATTTATGTAATTTTTAGTCGAAACATATTGAGCCTACGCAAGTCATTTGTCAACCTGTACAAGATGTTGTTCATGAAAATAATGATTGGGGTGAGTATAAAAATTCATTTTTTTTTCTACCATTACTAGTCTTATTCATTTTTTGCTGTTTAGGAATTGAATTGTTATCTAATAGTTCACCAACGAATGATGATGACGAAAAATCACCGAATTTAATTGGCGTTGTTAGTGGCAGTGTTGATCAAGTACGATACGCATATACAATAAACAAACCAAATAAAATTGATCCTCGATTTGATTCCAATAAAACATCAGCTACATCATTAACCAAAGATGATGATTCAGTAGAAGATTTAATGAACAGATTAACCAAGTTATGAGAAAAAAAGAATATATTTTTTATTTATTCGTTAAATATTTATTTTATTTTTAATGTTGTTATTGTTGTTATATATTCGTTGTTGGTACTTTTTAAAATTGTCTAGTTTGATAGAAAAACGAATTAAAATCAAGTTCGATTTTTGATCTATATGACAGAAATTGTTTTTATTTCATGTTAAGATTGAATAAACAAAATATTAAATATTTTAAACATTAGAGTGTCATTTTCATTTCAGACAAAAAGAAATGATTTATTAAGAAATAAGGTGTTATGTCTATATGTTCTGGTGAAAAATGTACATTGTGGACTATTTATTCATCGCTTATCAATTATCATCGCTATTTGTTTGTAAGAACAATATGAACGTGTTTTGAAAAACAGAACCAAATTTTATTTGAAAATAAACTTAGACACATCAATTTAATTTGTAGTAGCGGCAAGAGCAGTATTTTCATTAATCTGTTTCGTTGATTCAAGAAATTGTTTTTGAATAAGATTAATCTCGTGTGTTAGAACACTTTGATAATTAAACAATTCAAATGACGAACATATCTCATTCAATTCATCTATATTTTGAAATTGCTCTCTATTATCTAAAATATAACTGGCACAATTTTCTAATGTTAACTCGTCTGGTGATGATTGTTCATTATGACACTTTCTAAGACTTTTCAAAATGAGTAATGTTGATTGTTTACTGTGATTCAAATAGTCTCTGTTGTACTCTTCTAAAATTATTTTGATATAATTTTGATCGTATCTGTGTGCAAATGCATAAAATAATTGAGACAATTCTAATGAATCTAATTTGTCTATATCACGCTGCTTTAATTTTGTTAATACAAATAGAGCTTCATCTAATGATTGAACGAGTTCCAATGAACAATTTAAATTTTCTAATGATATTATTATTGGGCCAACATCTTTTAAACTGTATTTATTCACATAATGTTTCATTAGTTGAATGAATGCTTTCAACGCATAACATCGAGAACGTTGAATATCATCGATTAATGATGATAAATGGTGAAATGAAGACAATACACCACTATAATCAAAATATTCACCATGTTTTAATACTAAAAACAACAAATAGATAAACGCATAATCATAGCTGAGAAGCAGAATAAACAATATTGACATAAATGTTTTAGCAAAATGCGTGAACCACTAGAGATGGGATTAGTTCTGTTTAAAACCACCCGTTTGACATTTTTAAGATTACTTTAGTTCGGTTAAACTAGTGTCACTTGTATGAACTAGATAAAACTAATTTACAAGAAGAGAATTTTAACCGCGTCAATTTTTCACTTGCTTCTGTGTAATATTCTTGGACATTTTTTGTTTTTCATGGTTCAGTGAACATGACAGAGCGATAAATAAGAACAATTACCTAGATAATCGACATAATCGTGTAATCGTTGATGTATGATTAAGTTCGAGTTCTGTCTGATATTTAATTTGTATAAACATTCAACAAATATTCGAGTATTTTCTTCTGTAAAGATTTTATAATTTTTCTCAACTAATTCAAACAATTTTGTATCATCGCATTCGATCATAAATCGACTAAGGCCAGTTTGAACATCAATTAATTTTGGCAATGTTGACTGTTGATGTTGTACTTCGTTGGCAGGCAGGGAAGATGATAATTTCATGACAGAGTGAAAAGTTTGCTTTTGTTGATCTTTGACATAGTTAGAAGATTGTGTCGGTTTTATGATAGAATAATCATCTTGTTCTCTTTTTTGATTTTTTGCTGAAAATTTTTTTTGTTCGTTAAATGTCAGCAGTGGTTCACTATAATTTGACTCTGTAGCCTGTTGTTGTTGTTGCTTCGGAGTAGCACGAGGTATATATCTAACAATTGATTTATTGATTAGCGAGCATGATGCTTGTGATAATAAACGGAGTTCTTTGAAAAATGTAAGTGATGATGACATCGGGAGCGATTCAATTTAGATCTATAACAAAAGTACATTACACAAATTTCGAATAAAGACGAAAAGGTTTGCTTCAAACTTTATATTGAAAGTTGTTCAAAAAATGAATGGATTCTGTTAAGATGAGGATAGCCATTATCTGTTGTATTTTCTACAAATAGCACATGATTCTCCAAGAATATAAATGATGGTACTGTTATACATGCTCACGAGTCTCTTTCACGTTTCATATTTTAGCCGTGCAACGCCCGAGACCGTGACTGTGAGAAATTAAGCGGGTAGCGTAAGAAAAGTAAAACTATGGCTGAATCACAGCGGAGTCTATCCCCACTTAAGCATTTGAGGCCTTTTGTACCACCTCACAGGATCGAGCAGTGTACCACCTGGAAAATGAATTTTTACAGCAAAATAGCGTTCCACCCTACGTTTGTTTGAAGCACTGCCTCAATGTGAGTCAATGTTACGTGCATAACAGTTTTTAACAGGAAAACCATGCCATCGCTTTAGGCTTGTTTCTTATGGTCAAGTGTGACAATACCACATATTTTCTGCTGTAGTAAAGTAAAGACTAAAAATGTTCATTTATTTCAAATGGTATATTTCGACACTAAATTAAGGTGCACAAACTGGACTCTGTATTACCCGATTTACTCTGTGGTAGCACTGTCAGCAGTAGAGCGATAAAGAGGAGAGGAGAGAATCTTACTGGAACTTTTTGAGTCAAGATTCGGCGAGAAACAAAGAAAACATAAGAACTTAACCATATCTGTTTAATATCAATGTGTCCGTGGATTTTCGATGTAAATAGATTCTAAATATATGAATCTAGCCAGGATCTCGCCGCGCCGTTAAAACTGATATGGTTCACACGGCCTGATGGATCCATTTTAATTGGTATTATATCGATTTTTAAAAAACCCAAGACAAAACAAATAGCAACGAATCCATCGAAAAAGATGACAGAAAAACATCCTTTTTTTACATTTTTGTAACTCATGGTCTATCGTCTTACTGAATAACAATTTTACTCGTGCAAAAAAAGTCCTGGAATCTTTTCTCCGCAATTCTACATAATTCTGTCCATTTTCAACCTAATAATCAAAAGAATAATCCACTAGCAATCTGAGATCTTTAACAATCAGAAGTAGTCGTCCTAGTTCTTCACCAAATACATTTTCCAAATGGATTGACTTGATATCAGACGTATGTAAAAATATTGTCAGCATAATCCTACTGACTATCTAAAAGGTGAACATTTGTACTGAACACCTAATATGACGCACATACCCATCTAATTCGTAACTGACTTAGAGTGATGTATTTATAGAGTACGTTAATAAAATCTATTTTGTCCAACATTTGAAAGCAAGCAAAATAACACAAACTACCATACAAGAAAACTCCTTTATTTTATTAATTATAAACAGAAACATTTACAAAATATATCCGACAAATACAGACATTATATGCAATATTGCTCAGATTAGTAATTCTTCTACTATTATTGATCATTCTGTAACAATTCATATAGATTATCATTTAAAGAAAGTTTATAATATAATGTTTTCTTCTTATAATAATCAGGCATCATTTTTAAATTGTCGATAACATCTCTGACAAGTCGTGCACGTTCAACTTCTGAACCACAAGTCTTATTTTCTAAACTCGTAAAATGAACGTGTAAATGGTAAAATGAAGGTGGATAGTGGAAAAATACACGAATACTTGATGATGGTAAATCAAACTTTGATGATATTAAATTCTAAATAGATTGAATAAAAAAAAAATGGTCCATCATTTTCGAAAATCAAGACAACAACAATTCTGTTTGGGTAAAGTGAATAGCAGAGAAGACGGTTTCGATTTTTTCTCTAGAGGGGGACATCCGGTGTTTTTTTCACGTTCAACATTAGGAAAAACGTTTCAATACTCTTGTTATTTTGGCTACGAAGTTATCAACATTCTAAAATTGACAATTTAACTTGATAATTGAAAATAAATAATTTTTTTTATTAATTAGATTGTCCGTAAAAATTTGTACATATAAAATCTTATTCGGTTTACCTATCTGGAACTTACTCAACTGATTGAGACCGATAAGCATATATTCCGGACACATGCTTTGTAAAATGAATACGTCAAGTCATGTGCGCCAAATAATAATAAATATGGTATCAAAAAGAGTTGCTTTAAAAGAATACGTAACCGTTTTACTAAGTTAAAAAGCTTTTTGTAATAAAAAAACAATTTTAAGACTAAGACATAAAATCTTTAGAGACCATTCTAAAGATTCATATTGTTCCACTTCGGAATTGAGAAATTTCTTAGAGACCAAAAAAGTACACCGAGCTCAATCGTCTTTTTTTTTCTTTCAAATATTGTTTAAAAAAAAAGAGTTTTCTACACTATGTTTTGAAGTGGATGGTGATAACATATTCTGTTGCATAACTTTCGAATATGTCAGAGTAATCTGCGAACCTCATACACTAACGTATAGTAACACTATGATCATCTAATACTAAAAATAATAAGATAAAATTAGGAGAAAAATTCAGATTTCAACGAGTTAAGCTTATAATTAGATTCTCGCCTTTTCTTAGCTATATCGATATTAACATTTTTCTTACTGTAGTTTTTTCGATGACATCTTCTAATAGTTCTATATGTTCTGGTGTTAAATCTCGTAGACTTTTAATATTTCGTTCTTTAACAATTGATAAAACATGGAGAGATTCTTTTGATTTATTATCCCACATGATATCTGGTAAAACGACAAATGCTTTATCATCTAATAATATTCGATCATTTTCCGATTTTCCATCTAATATATTATACACCCATTGTACATTTAATTGATTTTTTTCAATATAGGGTTTGACAATTTTATCATATTTTTCATTCGTTTCACTGACTAATCGAAAACTTTTTTTTAAATATTTTTTTATGTGTAAATCGGTTGCAGGATAAATAAAATTTAATTTTACGTCTAAAAAAAGAAAGATTCATAATAGCTAACTTATACATTACATCAAATAGATTCAAAGCTTACCATTACACGTTGAACGAGCTGTCATAGTATATTTATGATAAATATCATTAATAAAATCTTTTGTAAATTTTTCATTTGATTTAAATAAATGAGAAACTTCGTTTAAATCAAATGGCGTCTTTTCCATTAATAAAACAGCTAAATTTTTTTTCTCTGTTTCGTCGCTATTTTCATCATTCATTTCAGCTTCAATTGCTATAAATTTTGATTGATGATCATCATTTAATATACGATTCAATTTTATTATTTTACTCCATCGTTCTACATTATCATCTGTATTTCTATTATGATTATCATCACTGGAGACTGAATTAATTTTACTATCCATGGAGGTGAATTTAATTTTAATCCTAGAATAACGAGAAAAGAATCTTAATCCATAAAAAAAATTGCACTATCATGTTGCACAAACATATTTATGCGATTTTCGATTGTTATTTTCTAAAAATGCACTACGGCAGTAGACTAGCTTTGACTGTGTATGCTTCTCGATCACTCTCAACCACTAGTCAATTTCTTCCTTTAATGAGCGATGTTAAAATGAATAAGTTTGAAAAGAGATAAATTTATCAAACAACTTGCTAATCAAAACAATCACTACTGTAAATGACATGAAAAAAAAATGAAAGCAATTATTTATTAGTTTGTTCATCATTCACCGTTGACATTTGAGGAACATGAACTGATGCTGATGGTCTTCGTTTCGATAAAGTGTTTGATTCTTGTTCATTATCACTTTCATTTGAAGCTGTCTTTAGTCTTGAGGCTAGTTTTGGTCTTGTTCTTGTGAGTTTAACACTTTCTTTACTATCCGTACGATATTTGGCCAAATCTTGTTTATGTTGTAGAATATCCTGGTATATTTCTGCTCGATCATCATCATGAATTTCCTTACGATAATGAGCCATTATGTCCCATAATTTCCATGGTTCACCAGATTTTTCAGCTGCTTTTCTAATTGAACGTGGCAATTCTGGTAAGAGAACACCTTTTAAATCATGACGTTCCCATTTATATTGCCAATATTTAGCGGTTATTGGAACCTAAACAAAAATGTTAACATCTAGTACACACATATAAATATGATAAAATACAATTCACTTGGATTGTGTTTAACGGAACACCACTGCCTGGAGGTAATTTAACAGGTTCCATATCAAACGGAAATGTACAATGTTCGGGATCAGCATCACGAAGATAGGTTAAATCATCATCAAGACGACGTTCTAATTTTAATACTTCAATTCTAGTTATTGTTGGATTGTACAATTCATAAATAATTTCAACGCCTAAAATGAGAAACAATGAGAGACATGAATCAAAAGAAAATTTGGCTAACAATATTTTATCCATTGTACAAAAAAAAGTGAAAACTATCGGAAAACATTTGTTATAAATTGTCACATTACTCATAATCTTGTTAAAAATACTAGGTGTCAGTTTGAGGAGCGTAGAAAGAAAAAAATCATTTTATTTCATACCTAAACCATCTATAATATTTCTCAGTGTAAATCGATGTTTAAGTCCATGTCGTTCTCGTTTAATACATATGCCAACAAAACGATTTCGTCTATTGGGAGCATACGGATCCGCTGATGTAACAGCTAAAACACTTCCTAAATATAAACATTTCTAATAGACAACAATCGTTGTTCTCTCTTCTATCCGTTCATACCAACATAAAATTCCGGTATATCGATTTGTTGACGACGACGAAAAATATCTAATCGTTCAAGCTTTTCTAATACTCGATCACGTAAATATGGTATAGGATTTGGTAAAAATTCAGGATAAACATAACTAAATAATAACAAGCACATGATTCGTGCGATATACGTTCAAGATATGCATACGTTCTTACTTGAAATCGTGTGGTGTATCGATCATGTTCACCTCACTTTTAGGTGGAAATACACCAACAGCAGCGCCTTTCTTTATTTTTCCCAGTGGTGCATTTCGATGATGTTCAACTAATGCATCATTAATCATACCACGTTGTTTATAACGGACTAGCACCAATGAAACTAGAAGAAAATTATTATATTAGAGATATGAACGTATTCAATGTTCTACTCACCATGACTGAGTCGTGGCTCAAGTAATACATTGCCTAGTTTATTGAATGATGGTAACAAAGCCATTTAGAATAAAATTTCAAAAATATTACTTCACATCTGAAATTAAATATTGTGTTTTTATATAATATAGTATCTAAATAGCGGATACAAAACGATAAGAACTATGTTCACAATTACAATTAACTTTCGTACATAGTTAGACAAAAGCATTTCCGAACAAACAGAAAACATCAGTCAATAGACTTTTATTTAAAAAATTCAATATTTGTCTTCACATAGTTTATCTGAAATTATTGGCAAAATACACACATAGAAAAGACGTGAAAATCGAAATTACCTAATAGGACTATTTGTGATCACAAACTTCTCACTCACGCCTACCCAGTTCACTATCGATCATCTATTTTTTTTATCCATCTCCAAAAACTTTTTTGAGCTATTTAATCAAACTTTATCGAACAACTTTTAGTTATTAGATTGATTTTAGTACATACTTAGACATTTGTTTTGACGTACATTCGGACATTTTTTTGTTTGTATACGCTCATTTCTCATCGCAATAAAAGTATTTTTAGAAACTAGCCCAGAAAAACGTTAAAACTAATTAAAGCTGACTTTTCCGATAACTTTTAGAGGTAAGCACCTTTAGGTACGCACAGATACGTGTACAGACTCGTTTCAATATCCAACACTTTTTTTCATTCATAGTCAGCTCTGTAGAAAACAGTTGTAGTTAATTATCAAATCAGAAGATAATAGTAAAAAATCTAACATTCAAAAAATCATCATTTGGTATTTTTTAAACATGTTCAGAGAATAAATTGCAAACAAGAAATGATTATGGTTGTTTTAATCATTTATATTGTGTTCAGATGCAGATCAAGAACAGCTTTTAAACTGATTTGTTGTAGAGACTGTGATATGAATGCATAACCTCTTAAGAGGTCTAACTGTTGATAGAAGAATTCTTAATATGAAGATGATCCATTTGTAAAGAATTCAAGTTCTTTTTCTCGTTGTGCTTTCTAGTATAATAAAATTGTTAATGTTAGATGAGTTAACGTTTAAAAAAGTATATGCATCAATAAGAACTAAAAAAAATGCATATGATAAATACATTTACAAAAATAAAAAGTAATAGTAAATAAACAACATAGAAGAGAAAATATGGAAATTTATAAAAGATCACCATTCAGAATGTAAGCAAATATGAAGAGAGTAACTAAGAGGTATTCGTTGTGACAACTCCAAAGTTGATGTGTCTGGCTTACTTATAAGAAAAAACGATGAGATGACAGCTCAAAAGCATTTTGTAGATATTCTCAAACTTCTACAGGCTAATTGCTTGAATACTTGAGTTTTGTCTGTAAAATGAATAACAGACAACAGAAAATGTACGATATGACTAGTAAAAATAACTCAGACAGTTGTACATATATAATATAAAAATAGAAAGTGGGCTAGTGAATCTAAATATTTGTTCGGTGTTATATTTTGAGTGTAATAGCATTGAAATCAGTTTATCTTAGTTGGGCGGCTACTTTAACTTCGCTTTTGCTCGTTCATCTTCGTCGATTGCGGCCATATTTAATGCTGCTGTATATAAATGTATAAAACTGATGATCTGTTTACCAATCATAACAGGTGTCGTCAAATATAATATTGTACGAAATAAACCAACAACATAGTTATCAACAACAATTACTAAACAGAAAGATAAATTCATTCTATTTTCAAATAATAGACAATATATTATAACCTACATGATGGACCTTCGGTAAAATGTAACATGTATAGCATTGAAAACCAAAGTTCATTGCCAGCGCACATGAAGAAAAGAACCTTCTATAATTAGAAAAAATATCTCTTGGTATTTGAATTGAAGAAGTCAGGACTGCTTCTCTTACCCTTGATGTATAATAAATACGAAGAACAGGATTTCCTGAAAGATCGATCTTTTTATGAGTTTTGCCTTGCATTGTTGCCACATGTAAATGAAGCCAATGGCTCGCAACATCAATGGCAGCCCATAATTGGAAAAATAATGCCCATTTTGGATAAAACATAGCCAATACAAAACATAAACACATTGTCGAACAACGATCAGTTAACATATCAAACATAGCACCAAATTGCGTACCTTAAAGGATATAAAGTAAAAGAATAGAGAAATAATGGATTTGTAAAGATTTACTTTGGCCTAAAGCACGAGCTGCATGTCCATCCAGAGCATCAAGAAATTGACTTGTTAAATAACATACTAATGTTACTTTAGGATGTGTTGGCATAAAATAGAAGGATGCGATTGAAAGAAACACCCGAACATAGCCTAAAAAAGAAAAGAGTAATTAAAACAAATAGGATGTGTTAATGATGTGCTGGTATTACCTATGATGTTTGGAACAAATAGAAATATATTTTCCGTTTTTAAAAACCCAGAAATAGAATTAGTTGTTGTTGTTGTTGTCTGAGGCGCTGTTGTTCTTTGGCGAGTAGCCATTATGGAGTAAGAGCAATCAGTGAAATTTATCCAAATTTTTAGTCTAAGAAAAAGAAGCGTTCATAAGAAAAAACGAAGGAAGCTTACACAAAAATAAATAACCAGTAGCTATGTATTTAAGCTCATTAAGTCCGGATCCTTCAAATTTAGACCTTTACTTACAGTTTCCAGGTACAAGTATACGATTAAGAGGCTCACCTCACAATGTTTAAAAAAGTATAAAACCAATCATTTCATAAGTAACATAATCTACCAGTTGTTCTATTGATAGAAAGATTGGTTCTATAATTTATTGACAAACGATATATAAAAACAAATTAGAGACAAATTGTTGAGGCTCACTTGCTGATCGTTTCGAGTAGATCAGCCCGTGAACTCTCAAAAATTTAATTTGTAAATATATTATTCTTTTAGACATGATGTAAATATCAAAACCTGAGAAAATGAGCTTTAACGCAAGTCCAACGCGATTATTCTTAAAAGTAACACGTTAAAAACAAAATCTTGACTGCTCTAAAATGAATGACTTATATAGATCGATGTATGAATAGCAGAGGTAGTCATAACGAATTATCGACGTATGAAACAGCATCCGAATTAATCATACTCATTGCCACGTCGACAAATATGACTTTTCTATTTTTATATAAAATGATTCCTTGTGGATGTAATTCTGACCGTGTACTTCGCTGATCTGTCTCAAGTTTTGTCACTCTATCTTTCATCTGTCTCATATTTTTCATTCATGTAAGTTACATTCACGCTGCAAATTCACTCGATAATGTAGCTTAACCGGAAAAGTAAATTCCAGTTAATCTAACCTTAAAACGATAAAAAAATCTCCTGAAGAAAACATCTGTGATGAGACACGTTTTATAAAGTTTGAAATGATTTTAGTCAACGTTCGACAATCTAAACGCACCTTATTTTTCTGACCACAAACCGATGTGGTTCTTAAAAATCCACTGATTTTCTATTCTATATACGATATTCGTATTTTATTTTACCATTCAATGTCATAGATTCATAGATTACCTCTAATATCATTTGCTACTAATATAACCAATCAAATTTCAATGTCAAACCGCCTCACAACATGATCATTGTGTTGTCGTTTAACAAAAATCAGTAGAGCCACTTACAAACTGACAAAGAATTTTTCATTAGGTGATTTCGTATTATCAACTGGACGATTAGAAGAGAAAAGAAAGGCCCCCAAAACATTTATTGTACTTAGTTTAATCTGTATTTTATTAGTTAGCTGAAATAAGGATCACAGATAGTCGGGAATCGTAAAGCATTGTACCTGGCTATCTGAAGAAACGCAACATAGGCAAATGGAATAACAACAAAAAATAAAAACTATCATTTAAAAAAAACAAAAGAAAAGTTAAAAAGAAAGATAGGAAAAAAGAGTGGAAGAAGTAGAGGATATGCACAGCAAGTTAGCTGTTAAATTGTTTAGAGTATTCAATAAATTTTATAACAGCAGAGTAGATTGCAGAGTATTCATCATATTCGAACCTATTTTTTTAATAGCAGATTTTTAACATCAATCCTAATTTTTTGTAGTATGGAGTCGGTGATAGTATTCGTCATCACAGTACGGTAAGGAGCAAATAAATGACAATGAAGAAGAAAATGTTTCACTGTTTCAGATATACCACATTGACAGAGATTACTTCCAACTAAACGTTTTCGAAAAAGGTGAGAGTTCAGGTCAGAAAAACCACATCTTAACTGGTAATAGATCTAATCATACTCTCTGTTCACACCATAGATTATAAAAACTTTTATATTATTTTCCGTCGAGACTAATTTACTTTTAAACTCTTTTATTTTCGATCTCAGATTATTATCTAACTTATTTCACTCAAGTATGAAACGAGGAAAGAAAGACATTTCGAATCTCTTTGAACCTGTGAGTGTAATCAGTTTGTTGGATGTTGGGGGACGCAAAGCGTGATGGAAATTTGTGTTTTTTATTAGTTTATCCTGTAAGTGTTCAGGTGTTAATCCTATTAATATTTTAAACCCTAGTAACAAAACATTGTTCAAAAAAGTTCGTTCGATGTCTAACCACCCTAAACAGTGTAACATCTTAAGCTTATCCGTTAGATGTTTACACCCGGAAACTAGGCACGCAAATTTATATTGAAGAGAAACAATAGGACTGACATCAGTTTTATGTGTTGAAGAATAACTGACAGATGCGTAAATTACAATAGGAAATACAAAGTCCTTATACATTTGGCCCAAAACTGTTGTGTAGAAAATATTTTTATATTGGTACATTAAGAATAGAATTTTGCTACATCTAGTGTGAACGTACATGATATGCTTATTCCAGTCAAGCGTCGAAGTTAGGAATAGCCCTAAATGCTTGTAACTATTAATATCAGTTAATCGAATATTTTCTATAATCACGGGATTAACTGATGAATCTATATTTTGTTTATAAAAGGTCATTGAAACACATTTTTTTATATTTAATTTTAATTGCCAAAAAATGAACCAGCTGTACACTTTCTTAATATCCTTCTTTAGTAAATCAGAAGCGACTTTTAGTGATTCGTGCTCAGTATGAAGAAGAATGCCATCAGCGAAGAGTCTAGGCACCGATTTTAACCCAAGAACGATATCATCAATGAAAATCAAGAAAAGAAGAGGACCCAGAATTGAACTCTGGGGCATCCATCTGTTGACTTTTCTAGGACTTGAAAATTTTCCGTTAATCATTGTATTATGGATCGATCATTTAGATAATCTTCAAACCACTTAAGCATCTTATCTGATGCACCTTTCTTCCTTAGTTTGTAAAGAAGACCGGTGTGCCAGACAGAATCAAATGCTTGAAAATGCTGAAGTCAAGGAATACTGCTCTAATTAAAAGTTTGTTGTCAAAACCTTTATTATATTCCAAGACGTTTGATAGATATGCTAAATTCAGATCTTCAATTCTGAACCAGTCCCAGGACTCCATCATTCAAGGTTCGGAAATTAGACAAGTTTTCCGGAGATCATGCTATCTCGGTCCAGACAAGTCCGGAAATTCTGGAAAGACTCTAAACATTGATAGTCGAGTGCGCTGATCATCGTGGCAATGTTTATTTTCTCCTAAAAGTTGAACAAAACTCGCCGAGTTTTGGCCTGTGGACAGCAAAACTTCGATTGGACATACCTCACTCATTTCAAGTCAGAAATCGATCAAATTATCGACATACAGTCAAAATAAGCTAGAAAATATGAATTATGGATAAAACTTTATAAGTTTTTAACGTTGAGGTTTTTCAGGAGCTCTCTAGAAACCTTCTGATATTCGATGCGTTTGATTCCAAAGTTATGACATGCCAGTGGCAACTGTGAGCATTAGTGAGTTCCCACTGAAAATTGGATCGATTTCTGACTTGAAATAAATGAGGTATGTCCAATCGAAGTTTTGCTGTCCACAGGCCAAAACTCGGCCTTTCAGAAAAACAACTCTGGCGAGTTTTGTTCACTTTTTAGGAGAAAATAAACATTACCACGATGATCAGCGCACTCGATTATCAATGTTTAGAGTCTTTCCAGAATTTCCGGACTTGTCCGGACCGAGACAGCATGGTCTCCGGAAAACCTATCTAATTCCCGAACCTTGAACGGTGGAGTCCTGGGACTGGTTCAGAATTGAAGATCTGAATCTAGCATATCTATCAAATGTCTTGGAATTGAAAATCCGAAATTTTTTCAGTGGTGAGCAACCTTCTGCAAAATGTCCAGGCGTGGTGTGCCACCTGAAGATGTCGCTTTTTCCATTCTTTTGCATAGATTCAAAGCCCCATCAATCCGCTTTCAGAAACTGAAAACCGCAGATGTCTAACTTCAATGCAGATCAATAGTTATTCAAAAAACAACCGACTCCATTATTCATTGAAAACGATAGTAATAGCATGTACAAGATCTATTAATCGATTTACCGTTGAACCTTTATGCCGAAAACCTGACTGCAACGAGTACAACAGTTTATTTTTAGACAAAGAATAGATTGGTTAAAAACATCAGTGAAGATGTTCTCAATAACTATACCAGCTCCTTGACCAACCTTGAAGTAACACCGAGAGTAGATTATTCGAGTTTAAAGTTTCAAATGCCTTGTGAACTTCATTGTTATTTATATTTATAATGTCAAATTTCGAACTAACCGATGGTAGTTTATCCTCAGGAATAGGTTTTCTCGCATCTCTTAAGTGCATACACTATAAAGGAGAAAATTATTTATAGAAAATGCTCGGCGAATTTCAAAGAATCCATATATAAATTCCTCGAGCATTTTCTAGTTTATAGAAAATCGAAATTTCCAGTTTACAGAAATTCCTCCTCGAATTTCCACTTTTCATGTGAATTATTTATGGAAATTCCTCGCCGAATTTCCAGTTTCTTGGAAATTCGCTGTCGAATTTCTATAAGTAATTCCTAAGAATCTAGAAATTCTTTTTGGATTTGCTATAAACTGTAAATTGCTTGGCGCATCTGCACCGAGTGGCGGCTCGACCAGGTTGTATTGAAGTTGATCTCGACTCCTCATGCTTTTTAGGAATTTCTTGTGAACTTCTCCGATTTTGCAACCTTTCTTCCGAAACTACCCCTTCTCGTCGCCACTGTCTCTATCTAAATCCAAATTCTTGCTGACTTAGGCAGAATTGTGATTTAAAGTGGAAACTGAAGTTGATTTAAGTGTGATATGAGTGTCTTTATCTGACGCTCTTATACCTACACTGATTGCAAAACAAAAAAGGTGAATAAGGAGTTGGCTTAGAAATTCCTGGGTGAATTTCCAGTTTCTAGAAAATCGATCGAATTTCTATAAATAATTCCCAAGAATGTGGAAATCCATTTTATTTTCTAGAAATTTGGAAATTCAAGGAAGAATTTTCAGTTTATAGAAACTGCTTATCGATTTTCCAGTTTATAGAAATTCGAATTTATGGAAATTCAAGACGATTTTCTAGTAAGTAGAAATTCAGCGATTTCTATAAAGTGGGAGAATCGGCGAGGAATTTCTATAAACTAGAAATTCTTCAGCGATTTTCCAGTTGATTTTCCATAAACTAGAAATTAATTCAAGATTACAGTGTAGTACAAATATTTGCAAAATGCTCGTTCAAGATATTAGCCTTTTCAGTATTATCATATATCCAATTCCCATTTGAGCCCAAAAGTACAGGTATATCGGTACGCCTGTTTCTTCCTAGTACATGACTTATTAGTTTATACCAGGTTATGGGCTGTTTTTGCATTAAATTTATTCTTTCATTAAATTTCTCTCTTGCCACTTTACATGAATCCTCGTATTTTTGTGCACTCAGCAGATATTTACTTTTGTAATGATCAGATGAAATATTTTTCTTTGCAATATTTTAAAGCAAAGCAACGATCTTTATTTTTTCTCAAACGTCTTAGCTCTTCAGTGAACCATGGCTTGTCAAGGTTATTAATTTTATAGTACTTTTTCTCTCATATCTCTATAAAATGGCACGAAAGTTGTTAAAAAAGTTTTCTCCTGGAAAAAATGTTTGTTTTCCTCTGTTTGGAATTAGAAAATATATCGAAATAAGTTTTAAAATCACGGGGATGTAACAGTCCCTAGTTTCCTATTGATTTTGAAGGGCTGGGACCCTTCGTAAAATGAATACAGTTTAATATAAGAACGTCGTGGAGAGCTCAAAGATACCTCATTCTGTCCAAAGTTTGTGTCCGTTCGACTGAGTTATGGACAAGAAGTCCTGATTGAACGATTCGATTTCTCGAGATCCCATATTAATAAATTTTAATGAAACTTCCATATATATCGTTCTTGATTCTAGAGTCTTTCATCTATCAAATTTATCTACCACTTTTCTGATTTGTTGTTGCTACACGACCGAGTAAAAAATGTTAAAAATAAATCGCTTCTGTACACAGGACTGTATTTATCAACTACAGATTACAATGTGAATCTTACCGATAAAATTAGTTAATGTACGTCAGAGCCCTGCAGGTTGATCCTAACCTAACCTAACCTATAGGTTAAGTTAGGATTAGGTTGCAAAAGTTATAGGCTAGGTTAGATTATAGGTTGTTCTATTTTTCTTTTCAATGGTTAGGTTAGGATTAGGTTGTGAAATTTTTTATAGGTTAGGTTACAGGTTGCCAAATATTGGCAACCTGCAGGGCTCTGACGTACATTTTCTAACACATCCCTCAAATGTGACAGTATCAAATAGTTCACGCCTCCACTACATTTTTTCTTTTTCTAATGTGAAAGATTTAAAATCAGTAGACTATTCGACTATTTGCAAGTCAGTTCATGGTTACTTAATTATATCCTCTGATGCATTTTTCTCAGACAACCTCTTTTTTTTCAAATGTATATGGGACTTTTCCCATTGTGGTATCGATAGGCTTAATTATGAACTGAGCAAGATTTTGGCTTTACAAACCCAGAAGCTGCCGCTGATATGCGGCAGTAACATGTTGAATGTTGTTTATATACGTGTATAATGTAAACCAATCTCTGTGCGTCCTTTTTCTCAACATACTTATTTTAAAAAAGATTAATTGGTGAACTTCCTAACTTTCGGTAGTAGGGTTTCCGATTATTCTTAGGGATTGGAGGGACTAAACATTTTGCTTTACAGAAAGTGGCTAGCGAAAAAAAGTTTTGGAAATTTTTGGTAGAATAGTGCTTATAGAAAAACGTCAAAGATTTTGCTGGAAAATGTAAACATTTTTTTAGGGAGGAGTCAAGCCCCCCCTGATCGGAAAGCCTGTTCGGTAGCATAAGCACCTTTTCTTCTTCAGCCATTTAAGACTACGATTGTTTTTTCACGTTTCTTAAGAATCGTCTTGATCTTGTCTTTCGCAGCACTATTTACCTTTCTACGAATATTCTGATTTTTCATTCTGTTTTTACAGATTAACGGACTAGTGCAATTTTCATGCCGAAACAGACTGAGAGAGAAAACTGTTAGCATAGAAATAGCCATCTTGTTCGCTTACCGTATGCTCTAGATTCTTCTATACATTTCTTGCGCAACAGTTTTTAAAATTTGATTTAAACAACTCGAAGAGATGATTTCTAAATCTAGTAATAAGTTAAATATTACTACTAGCGTAGGCGTAAATAATATTGGTATTTTTGTTTATATAAAGAATTTTTTCAGAAATAGAATGAATTTTATTTTAACAACAAAGATGCATGAATTATTTTTATCTTCTTCCAGACCAACTACACAGTATCGTCTACAGTACGATATTGTATGTTTGACAAACATTGCTCATGTGTATTATCAATTCGCGAAAATAAAGATAAATTTCTGAAATTTTATGAACACGAAAAATTAAAATAACAGCAATAAACGAAGCATGTCAATGATGCATATCAATGATTATTGAGTAAAATTACTCTATGTTCTGAACTATTGTATACTACATGCGAAAAAGAAAAATTTTTGTTTCAAGAGAATGTACATCAATTCAATTCCAGATCAATATCCATATATAATATATATTCTATGACCTATAATAATGATATAATCGTGTATGTATGATATACGGTACATTACAGGAAAAATGAACAAATATAGTGTCGCACATTATGAATGAAATAAACACAAAAAAAAAGACAAAAGAAAATCCAATGAAAAGATAAACAACTAAAACAAAAAGAAAAGAAAAGCAATAAACACTAAACTTGTGTATGTCTAACTGTCACTACTTCTTTTCTCTCCTGATCAATAGCTAAAAACACCATTACCGTGTGCTTGACAATAAAAAGAAAACATGCACAAGTGATTAAGTGTTTATCTAAAGCGTCTATCTAGTTTTATACACACTCAGAGCTAATCAACCAAACAACAACAGCAACAACAACAAATAAGAGAAAAAAAGTTTGGCAAACAACAAGAAGAATTACGTTTTTTTTAAAAAAAAGTTTTCTCAAATAAATTTCATTTTCATTGTGCTTCACCAGAAGGAAAGAATGAAAAACCGACAAAATGAATAAATCAGCTTGCTTATAATAAATATAAACAGACACGCAGAATACTTTTCGAAGTCAAACAATTGACCGATTATACATATACATATTTTTACATAGAGGTTACCTATAATGTGTATAATTTGTTTTCTAATGGTCAAAAGAAAAAGCCAAACAAAACAAACGAAAGGGAATTAACGTATACAAAATTTAGAACAGATTGCTGGTCTATTCTATAAACAATCAGAAAACACAAAAGAGTTAAAGATTATGTTCTTAGTTTTCATTGCTGTTCTTTCATCATTTTCTTGGTCTTAATTTTCGCAAATATTCACCACCACTACTAGATGCTTCATCGTTACTTTTAGTTGGAGTCGAATTATTTGATGAAGTTGTTTTCGATTGTTTTGTTGTTGATGTACGAGCGTTTGTTGCTTTTTTCGGCGATGGTGTTGGTGGTGTCGATTGATCAAGATTAGAATCAGCCGTTGGTTTCGGTTGTTTTTTTGGAGATGAACGTCGAGATTTTTTAGCATTTTTTAAAGATTTAGGTTTGTTTGACGATGCACCACGTTTCTTTGGACTTGGAGTTGCACTTGTGTTTGAAGCACCTGCTGCTGTCGACGGTGTTTTACGACTTTTTATTTTGGTTGATTTTTTCTTCTGATTATATTCATCATCTTCGTCGTCACTCTGATTAATAACCACATCATGATCGGTTGTATCTTGTGCGTCATCCTCATTATTACTACTTCCTAAACAAAGAAACACTTTTTTATCAACAAAACTTGATCTAGACGTTGTAAAAACAGATCTGTAAGTAACTGTAGAGAAAAACAAATCCTATAAAAAAAATTCCAGTGCGCACCGGTACCTACCCGTACCCAGCAAGTGCCGATATATTTCTGCCGCATGGGTGTCGCACTGGCAAAAATCAGTGTCGCACTGATAATTTATTTAATCAGTTTGATTAGTTTTTTATTATGGTTTATGCTGAATTTTGTATTAGGTTGGCAAGAAAGTTTTTGCGTTTTTTTCAAAGATTTTCATTTTATTTTTCAACCACAAGAATACAACTAGCTTTCAACAATGTATGCTCCATTACTATCTATGATTTGTCGCCAACGCTCTGAAAGAGAAAGGATCCCGCGTTCGTAGAAGTTCTGGAACTTTTGGCCAAGAAAGTTGACGAGGTCCATTTTGAGGTCGTTCTCGTCGTCGAAGTTTTCCTCGCGCAAATGATTAGAAAGAGAACGGAACAAATGGTAGTCCGTAGGTGCCAAGTCCGGAGAATACGGTGGATGTGGAACCGTAACCCATCCGAGCTTCAATAATTTTTCAGGCGTCGACTTTGCGATATGAGGTCTGGCATTGTCATGCAAAAAGTAAATTCTATCCTGCTTCCCCTGGAGTTTTGCTGCAACTCGATCTAATTGCTGACAGTAGAGATCAGCAGTGATGGTGCAGCCAGTTGGAAGAAGCTCTCAATGAATAATCTCTAGTACTCCCTACCAAACGCTCAGCATAAACTTCTTTGGATGAAGGTCATTTTTGGGGGTTGCTACACCTGTTTGTCCAGCTCCCAGCCACTGTCGCTTGTGCGTGTGGTAGTATACAACACCCATTTTTCATTGCCGGTAATAAGATTACGGAGCCATTGGTAGTTGGGGTGAGACGTCATTAATTCCATACATGCGTCAACCCTGTGTTGAAGCTGATGCGGTGACAAATCATGTGGTATCCACACTCAGTATTTCCACATCTTGCCTAATTCGCTCAGATGTTTTTCTACTGCACTATGAGAGCATCCAAGCCGCTCTGCTAAACACCGTATAGTGAATCTAGGATCTTCTTCAATAAGCTGTTTTAAGACATCCGTATCCACCTCTAGTGGTCTTCCGGAACGAGGTAAATCGTCGAATTCGAAGTTACCGTTCTTGAATCGGTTGAACCCATGTTACGCTGTACGGATGGAGAGTATATCCTTGCTCATCGTGCCGCATATGTTGCTTCAGTTGCTTTGCGACCCAAACAAAATTCATGAAACAGAAGCACTCAGAGCTCCCTAGGAGAGATCTTCATTTCTAATCCGAGATCAACGTCCATATCCATAGCTTTATGGTTGATTGGAAGATATGCGTACCTCCTTTATATACCCTTCGTATGGAAACTTCTAGAAGTTTCTCGAGTGTTTTAGAAAATTTAAAAAAAAACGCAAAGACTTTGTTACCAACCTGATATTAGAATGCGGCACTCATCAGTACCACATCGACATGCCAAAACCATGCGGTATTGCTTCGGCACTTTTCTTATGAGAAGGAAAAGATGAAGTCAGAAAGACATTCGAAATATTAGAAGTATACTGTAGTGTTAATATAGACAGATTGACAAAACAAAATGGTAATTGAAAACAAAACTTCAGCACCGGTGAAGTCCCGGTTTGTAGGGACGGTCTTTACTATCAGAATCAGTTCAAAACTTTACTTGCGCTGCTTGGCAAACTAAGAAATTCTGCAGATACGTTCTGCCTTCCGACGAATGGCTTCTCCTCTTCAAACTGAAATAGTGGAGTCAAGAAGAGAAAAACTAAAAATGTTTTTCCCCACGTTGAACAGAAAAATGTTTGCCACTGAGTACTTATCTGTGTTCAACAAATAGTTCATTTTATAGGGAAAAGCGCCGTGAAGATACCAGTCTCCTCTTCGTGCTTTCGCTAGAAATGCTGTACATGTTACAACTTTTCAATTTGGTTTGGTTTCCAAAAACCGGAACCAGTCCTACCTCTGATACTACTGGTATAATGTTTATCTCAATTGGATGAAATTCAAGGAGTTCGTAATACGCCATAATTTAAAACAGAGTGCTCCGGAAAACCCGCGAACACTAGTAGGCTTGAAGGTTAAACAAAACGATGCTCCGTTCAGTTTCTAAATTGACCTGTTAGCTTATTGTACGATCGTGTCACATAAGACATTTTCTAGCAGAATATGACTTACCCGATGCCGAATTTATATTCTCAGCCGCCGTGATGGCATCTTTAGCAATCGTTTTTGCTTGACGTGAACGTTTTGGGTGAGATGGTTCGTCATTTGTCGTCGTTGGTGCTATAGCATCATCCTCTTGAGATTTGGTTTCACTTGTTGATGTAGTAGCTTCTGTAGGCGAAGACGATGCTGCTGGTTTTTTTCGTTTTGATTGCCGAGTACTAGCACGAGTGTTGTTATCTACCTGAATGAAAAAGACACTAGATCATCAGTAATGAAAGAGCAAAACCAATTACTTAGTAAGAATGAAATATATCGCAAATACTGGATTAACTCATAAAATCACGAAAGATAAACAAAAAGAATGACTGTTGAGCTCATTAGTTCAGGAATTGCAAGAATAAGGTGTATTGAGACGCAAGAGTAATTGTCAGAAACTAAAATGTCTTTAAAAGAACTTTACTTTTCACTATTGGTCTCGATCAGTGTGATAGCGTATGTTTTTTCCAACTGTAATTTGTTTTCTTAATTTAATTAACGACGACTTACTTTGGTTTTACTTTCTTCTGTGCCTTTTGATATTTTTTCCTTTTGTTCTTCAGTTGCTGCTGCGTTTTTTATTCCACCGCCAAACTGCAGGACCAACGAACTGATAGTTGTATTTGACTCAGGCACTGTGTTCTTCTCATCAGCGACTTGGTTCTTTTCTGAACTTTCATTTTCGGCTTTTGAACTGTTTGTTGTTGATTCGTTACTTGTTTTCGTTTCATCAGCAGGTTTCTTTTTTTCAGAATTTTCATCTTCGGCTTTCGAATTTGTTGTTGATAATTCAGTACTTGTTGCCACTTTATCACTATTATCTGTTTTCGCTTCTACATCGGATGACGAGGTTGTCGATGGTTGTTCTTGCTTTGTTGAAGAAGTGTTTTCAACAACATTTCGTTTATCTGATGTGGTGTTGTTATCCTCTCCATTAGTCGTTTTCGGTTTAGAATCAGTTGATGGTGCTTTTTGACTTGCGTTAACATCTTGTTGATCAGAATCACCACCACTAGTCGATGTTTTATTTTTAGCTTCACTTATATTATTATCTGATGAAGTATCGCTCTGTAACGATGATGTTGTCGTCGATGTTTTTTTAGGCTTTTCAGCATCATCTATTTTTCCATTAACGTGTCTTGTTTCTTTGTTGTCTCCGGCATTAGTATTCGTACCATCCGGTGTATGAGAATTATGAAATTTTGTTGATAAATTATTATCGCCCGGAAGGTCAGTAGAAGCCAACTGTTGTTCTGTTTCGCTGACTGACTGCATGAATTATGTAGCTTTAGTGAGAAACAAAGAGATTAGGACAGAATATGACTTAATATGTTTGATAAATCTAAAACGGAAAGAAAAATTAATAAATTTAATCACTGAAAATGTTTATATAGTTTTTAAGATACAATGAATTTGAATAGGATCACATTAAAACATTTAAATAAAAGTTCACTTTGCAACTCAAACTTCTTCCTCTCTTTCAGTGAACAGGATTGTATTCACTCGTTCACTTCCGTCGATTCGCACATTGCTGAAATAGAACAAATAATTTATACATCTCCAAAGCAAACGCTTGAGTGAGTAGCTGCTTCCAATGAGCACCTACTGAAATAACCACTAAAGTTCAAACAGATAAAATCACACTGTTTACAGATCAGATCATGTATACGAATTCATGATATCCTACTTTACAATTTCAATAATCCCTAAAGGATCGGTACCGGTTAATGGAAAACTTCTGAGCAGATTGGTAACAATATTAAAAAACCATATATACTTATACACAGGAAATAAACAGCTTAAGAACGAACAAAAGAAAACTTATTTATTTTAAACATAAAAATGTTATCGTTATTTTCTAGTTAATGTACTAATTCCGATAATCTAGGAATGGCGCTCGATAATTGTTTTACTACACTAATGAGATTACAATCTAGGAAAAGGAGAGAAAAAACTGATTAAAGTACTGACTTAGTTGAAAAAATCCAGTTAGGTCGAATAAATAAGCTACATTCACATTGTCATAAATTAACAAAAAAACCATTTTAAACTCCATATAACTTGTGTCTCTAAAGTCCATATTGTACATATTTTTTGAAAAGTTTGAAAAAAGTTTTGAATTAGAAAGAATAAGAACGTTGGATTAATTTATTTGAATTTTTTTGTATTAATTTCAACCTTAAAAAGAAGAGATTTAACAACTAAATAAAGAAGAGGTCGCACTTACTCGATATAATTTTGGTTTGTTCAAAAGAAAGACATTTTTTTGTCGTTTTCTGATTGGTCGAGTTGTCTATTTACTTTTAAGGTTAACCTACATCGATGAGTTGACGCAGCTTAGCTTGACCTGATCATTAATCAGTCAGAGACTACGCACCCCCTCAAAATCATATGACTAGCTTAGTTAATACGAATCCTACCCAATGAACATCTAACTATAGTTTTTCGACAGGTACTGTCGTGAATGCGCCAAATTTGCATTTTTGAGAGAAGTAGAATAATGTAGAACATCCTGTAAGAGAAGTATTTTAAGAGCAGTAGCTACTTGAAGTATGTCAAAGTAGCGACACTAGAGAGTTCTGTACTATTAGAACAATGAGGATAGATATTGAAATATTAGATCTGTGTTAATCAACAAAAGTGTTTGTTATAGCATTAGACTATTGAGAAGGCACGAATTCTTTTGAAGTTTATTTTGTACAATGAGGGAGGTTCTTGTCAAACTGAGACCAAACAAAAAAATGGCTAAACGTTTTTTGTAAATATAGCTCATTGTTCTGTTTGTGCTGCCAAGTTTCATATCATCGAAATGAAGTATATGTCATACAATGCGCCGGATACCGCGATGGTATTATACCAGTAGTGTTGTCAAATGTGTTGATAAAGAGACAGTTATTCAAAATCTTCGTAGTTGTATGTAGGTAGAAGAAAAATCTCTTTGTATGTTAACTACAAAGAAAGAATTTACTGGAAATTCTCGTCAGCGTTTCGGTGAAAAAACATTTTAAAGACGTTTCTGTTAAGGAGGAAATAAAGGTTTTCAGAAAAAACTACTTTATTCGAATAATCGATCTAGAAGAGTTTTATGAGAAAAAGTTTCAATGGATATTTTTTTTTCGATCCAAAACTTATCGTGTTCTACATGATTCGATGAGGCTATCAATAGCCAATTTCGGATATATTATTGGTTTTAATAAAAAAAACGTTTTGAGCTGAGGCAAAGTAGAAAAGAAATTATGTGAAAAGCTTTTCAAAAACCTTCTGTATGGTCCAGACAAAAAGGTGCATGGGCTCAGTAGAAGTGGAAGAGTGCATCGACAAATTCTGAGTCATAAACGTTGCAATGAAAAATAGTGAAATCTTATTCTGCTGATGGTTATATTATTTTTGGAAAATCTACCAGAGTGATAAATGATTTTTTTCATCTACCCAGGTCAATGATTCACGACCGTATACTATAGTATTTTGTCGTATTTTGACGTAAACCCGAGCAATAGGGCTGTCCATAGATCTTTCTGAAAGTCTGGTAGAAGAATTCTCAAATATGATTCATGCCATTATTAAGTTCTTAAACAACACATAAGAGATTAGAGATTCGTTGTACTATATTTAATTATAAAGCCAGATGACTCGTTTATATTAAACTAAATAATAATATACTTTTTTCAAACATTTTCTTGAATAAAAAAATGGATTCGTTAATAGATTCTGAATAAAGTCTTCCACAATCTCTAGTTCTTGTCTAACAATATTATTAACCCTTTAAAGCCCAATGTCCATTCAAATGGACATCGACATTATCATTATAACAAACTGAGGAAGCATTGTTTAAAAAAACTAATCATATATTGGTTGTAGAGAATTAAATTGGCTATCGAATGGTAAAAAAAATTTTGTTATGCTAGCTGAAATATTTAAATTTTAAAATGAAGAATATTTTCGAAAGAATTAAATTTTTTAATTTAATCTTTTAGGTACTTTAGGAAAAGGTTTTCATTGAACAACTGTTCAGAAATATGTAGAGAATTGTACTCTTTCTAATTATGTTAGCTGAAGAAATTGTTGTTTAAACTGTTGGGCTGCTGATGGTGCAAAATGAAAGATCACATTTTGCTGGGATTTTGGGCTCGTTTTCTTAGTCATTCTGGATTTTCTTCAGCATCCGAGCTCATTTTCTGTCTTAACTTCCTCAGTCTTAATGGTCTAAACTTAGATATGTTTGATCTTTGGTTTCTAACGAGCATTTTGGAAAAAGTAAGTTTTTTCAAATTTTGATCTTAAATTTTTATTTTATTAAAATCTAACTTTTTTAAAAATGAAAAACAATTTTTTCGAGCGTGAGAAAATCATATCGAGGTCTCATACGTTTCATTTTCATACGTGATTGACCCAAAACTAAGCATTAAAGCCTTGGGGACTTAAAGAGTTAATAATTAAGCAGATAGTATCATAATTAATAAAAAAGCTCTTTCAGTTATTGTATAAAGTTTATAATTAGTTACTTATTTATGTAGGGAGAAACTTGTCACTGTTGTTCGTTATTTGCAGGACTCTGTTTAGCATCTGTCGGCAAATGGTAACGAATGACGTTACTTTTTCGCAGATCAATTCATTCGATATTACTTTTTGGAAGCGTCACAAATGAATTAAAATTTAGATCATCAACCATTCTGAGTCTGATGGTGATGTTTATTGTAAAAAATACTAGTAAAACCCACTTATATTCCTGTCGAAGTCGTGTCAGAATTATATCTTAAATGCAGTTTAATCTGCTTCTTTTAAAAAAAGCAAAAACAAAAACCACTTGCGAGCTACCAGTAATGTAGAAAAATCAAAATGCAATTAATAATAAGTCAAATATTATGTTCGCACGACATTTGTCTCAGTAACGTGATTTTCTACGCTCATTATCAACTGAAAATCTAGTGCAATTAATTACTCAAATAATATCTTATAGTTGATTTGAGTCTTATTGTAGTATAATCTTCATCTAGACCGTATGTTGATCGAATGTTTTGAAAGACACCTTCGGTTTTCTTACCCTGACATCAATTATCTCATCATCAAGTCATAATAAAACAGTGAAAAGATGGTTCCTACCTGCTGTTTTTGAAACAGCAGTTTCGACTTAAAGCGTTAATGATTAAGCGAATAGTATCATAATTAATAAAAAAGCTCTTTCAGTTATTGTACAAAGTTTGTAATTAGTTACTTATTTATGTAGGAAGAAACTTGTCACTGTTGTTCGTTATTTCAGTTATTTCGTTATCACAAAATTTGTATATGTCCATCAAAAATAGCTTTTTATTGAGCTTATTTTAATTTTGTATTAAAGAAAAATCAATGCACATCGCAACCCAGATTTCTGAACTTTAGAAGATTCTTTTTTTCTGAATGCAATGAGCAAAATACGCTAAATTCTGGTCGTTTACCCAATTTCAGGAAATTATATAGTTCTTAAGTCATAATACTTTGTTGAAACTGAGGTCAGCCTATACCACAAGAAAGAGCACTCTGAATTATACAAAAAAAGGTTGCCTCATCGAGTTGTTTCATTTGAAAAATTCTAGAAACCATTGAAGTCTTTTTTAAGAAAGTTGCTTTTGAAAAAAGTTCAAATGCAAGCGATGAAAACTAAAAGAGATATTGACGAGATACTGAAACCGCCATTTACTCTGGATCACTCGATATAATCGACTTTGATACTACATAAATTTATTATAAAAATGGACAGTAATCAAGTTATGTTGTTAAAGAATTGATTTTATGTGCAATACATTAAATCTATTGCAATCTATCACAAATGCCAAATTGTATATTGGGTAACCAAACGCGTACGTTGCTCATATTTTTCCCTTGAAAGATGTGACCAAAGACAATCCGTTTTATTAAGTTTATAATTATGCGGCACTTTAAAAAAAAAACGTTTACATGCTAGAAGCTATCAAACAGACATAACAGTGTACATAAAAGAAAAATGTAACAAATAAAATTACAACAACAAGAAAGAACAAATTATGTCATGTTTAGGTTCTGTCGATAGATAATATCGTTCATTCTCTTTAAACATGGTATTTTTGTCAATGATTTATTACATGACTGAACAACGATGATTTTTTCTCTGCGTTTTTTCACCACCATTAATCAAATGTTGTTTTCGTCTATAAAATACTTTTGATATATCGTGCAATAGTGATGATGATCTTGAGGATTTAATATGAAAATCTGAATAAAAATAATCTGTGATTAAATGATTATTATCCAAATGATTTTGTAATATTGCTGAGTTAATATCTTGTGTTCCATCATTATCATCTGTTTGTGTAATGATACATTTGTCAATTTGTTCTTCGGTTGCGTATATATTATCCTTTGCTTGATTACGATTTGGTTGAAATGTAACTGGCAATGGGTTAGTTAAACCACAATGTAAAAAATTAAACATTGATACGGGACGAATTTTATCTTTTCGTATTTGTTGTTGTCGCTGTTGTACATCAATAATTGGATTACAAAAACTGAAACTACGTGATTGTTGTTCACTTTTTAGACGTAAACTTGGCTGAAATTGGGAGAGTGTTGTCACTTCTGGATCAGTCGAAATATCTTCTGTTTGCTGTTTTGTTATAGCCATATCTTTTCGCATTGGTGTAGCATACTCAGGTTTTTCAGTTGACAATCGAGTTTCACTTAATCGTTCTGTTTTCCAACCAGTTTCATTTTTTATTCTTAAGTAATCCATTAACGTGTTTTCATCATTTTCTTGATGAGATGAATCTGTCTCATCGGATGCGGATGATTTACTTTGTGTTGTATGATTATCAACCGGATTCTCATAGATTTCAGATGATGTTTGATTAGAATCATTTTGTGTTTTAATATTAAATGAGTTTTTTATGGCAGGCTGAAAATAGTAAAATTCTACATTATTTGATTGTCAAATAACAAATAGACTCAAACTGATACAAAATATGCTTAAAGACTACGTTGTTATTCAAATGCAAATATATGTGTATGATATACTCACATCTGCAATTTAAAAACAAGAACAAACCAAATGGTATATTTAGCACTCACATTATTTGTTAAATCTGAATTATGCACTACACAGATTTCTTTAATATTTTTAACCACCTTTTTTGTATTAATTGGTTTCAATTGAACTGTTCGCAATAAATCGGCAAATGTTGGTGGTGGCGATGGTGATGGTGTAATTTCTTTATTGATTGATTTGGTTTTTTGATTGATTGGACAATAGGGTGTTTTTCGTCGGCAAATCATACTTGGGGGAACGTAACTCAATTCTTGATTTGGTTGTTGAGCACGTATTCGACTAAACTCTTTATCTAATTCATTGGCAATTGATGATTTTTTAAGACAATGTCTATTATATTCTTTGCTCAAAAGAAATGGTGGTGCATGCGGTATTGTAGCACAACTTTTTAATGGAATTTTTCTTGAATTTTGTTTCATTGTTTTAATTAGATGACGTATTTCTGATCGTTCCATGCTTGTAAAACTTGATTGACTATTGTTACATATTGATGGTGATGAATAATGACTATTGGTACCTGAACATAAACTATCTAAACTTAAATTACGTTGAACTGATCGCTTATGATAATGATCAGATTCTTGAGAAGTAGGGTGAACGTGAT